GTTGCAGCGTTAAAATGTTATGTTGACTGACAGCAATAAAACAATTTAGGGTGATAAACAATAAACCATCTGCTTATGTAGTAGTGTAGGACTTATATAGTACCTAGTGTATACAAATCTTAATTTAGGATTGTACAAAATGTATTCACCATACTTAAAATTAAATACAAAGATAAAGTTATAGAAAATAAAAAAGCAATCTTAAAATGAAATAATATTGGTGCGTTTATAGTTAATTTTTAGGCCTTATGGTAGGGGTATTACTCCGAGTGTCCCTTGTTTTGGCCTTAATGTCTGCCTATCTTTTGCTCATTTGCAAGGTTTTATTAAAACGGATCTGAGAAGCTTGAAAACAATGTTAATTATACTGTTCTATATACCATTTTGTTTGGAAAATCATGGGCTTCAATATTATACATAAAGCATAAGGAACATTTGTTTCAAAACAATTTTTAGGTGAAAAAAAATATTTTGGAAAATTTTCAACAAAAAAATAAGTTCGCGCTCAATGAAATTGTATAAATTATAGGCCTATAAATATTTGAAAATAGCCACTTTGTTCTAAATTTTATGAGGATTACAAATATATAATAATATAAGGAAGTAGATTTGCAAATAAATAAGTTGTGGGCAAAAAACAGATTTCAGTACATAGCGTTTAGCTAAGAATGCATAGCCTAACCATAGCTAGGAATCTGGCTGATAATTTACATCAATATCACTACCTACTTCTTCAGGATCATCAACCAGGCCTTCAAAATCACTTAAATCTTCTTATAATGCACCACGTATATCACTACTTTTGATTTTTAACACTAAAACAATGATAAACGTAATAAAACACATCAGTCATCGGTGCGAGGTTAACCAAGCTGTTTACAAATACGCACGTCAGCTGTCTGCTACAATATTTTCGGAACTAAAATGAAAAGCGCTTAGAGACAGACCTCCGGAGAAAGCTCTGAATCTGCCAAATAAAACGATACCTAACTCGATCCAGTTCAATCCGATTTTGTCAGTCATAGAGCCTTCGCCGTAAACAGTGTTTGTTGAGTCGATGCATCGACACAAAACACTACACAAAGTGTGTTATGTGTCGAAGCATCGACAAATAACACTCGGAGGGTTAAGAAAATAATACTTTAATTACCTATTGCTATGTTATGTTTACCACATCAATTGCGTTGTTTGCGTTAAATGACAAAAGTAAAACTCAAAATAACCAGTAGGCGTACTGTAATTAACTTCTAACTAATAACATTTACAGAAAGTAAATACAATTTGTCTAAAAACATGAAACATAATATATTTACACTACGTTCGCCTATTGAGTTTGATGATAATTAAATTGTCCAATCAAAATATATCACAGTTTATACCATATTTCATATATATATTTATCGTCATAATAATAAACAGTATATTGTGTATCAAGTGTTATTGGACGTATTTTTGATTTATTTTCCAGAAGTAAAACTCCTCAAATTCACAAAAAATAAATATAAACATATGTTTTGCAATCCCGTTAAACCCGGGATTAAAATACGTTAGTCCCGGGATTTCTAGGTATCAAAAATCTAGGGGATTCAGGATCCTGGGATTGAGACCCCTAGTTATTAGGCCTACTAACATTAGTATAAGTTTTTGTTTAAATACTATTTCTAATGTGTTCTTGGATGCTTTAGAAGAGAGGTGCCCATCCCCTCAAAGCGACCCTCAAGGTCAGGACTCAAAGCGGCCCTCCCCATTTCACACTGCCCCTTTCTTTAACCCTCCTAACTAAGGCAGGGTGCACACTGGAGAAACCCGTTTCAGGAAACTGGTTTCATTGAATTGGTTTCAAGGAAACCATTTCTTTAACAAATGCACACAGAAGAAGCGGGATTCCATCAGTTTTGTGATATGAATTCGGATGATGATTATGTGACTATATTGGTGGTGGTAAAGGAAACTAAAAGAAGGAAGTATTGGGTTCACCTGTTGATTAGGGATGGTCAACACAGTACTTACATTGTAGCTAATTAATTATGCAGTGATCCTGTCAAATTTTTTGATATTTTAGAATGCCAAAGCCTCTTTTTGAACGTTTGGTGGAATTACTTAGCCCACTAATAACAAAGAAGGACACCAACCGGAGGTTAGCTCTGAGTGCTGAGGAAAAATAACAATACATTAAGGAAGTCAATAAAACCAATAGAAACGTGAAACTGAAGCCTATACGAAATCTGTTTTTTGGATTTCATGTATACCAGTTGCAAGAAACAAATGAAATTACAGTTTCATGCAACGCAGTGTGCACTGCCCTGTGTTAAACTAATCTATCTGTTGTGACTGTTGCGAGCAACTAAAGTTTCTCGTTTCATGAAATCGGTTTCCTGAAACGGGTTTCTCCAGTGTGCACCCTGCCTAAAGAAATAGCCACCTGACACCCTCCCACATCAAAACCAAAATTGAAGGGATTTTCGAAATACAAAAAAACAAAAATATAAATGCTAGGTGACTGTCAATACATAATGTTTTTTGGGAACATTTATAAATTGTAATAATTTATAATAAAATTGACACTATAGATAGTTGGGTTATTTTGAATTGAAGAAATGTCCATGCTCATTATAGAGAATTTGGGACAGTCCCTTTACCCAACCCAGAAAAAAAAGTACCAACACTCTTAAAATTCCCCCCAAAAATCCCAATGGTGCACTTGCGCCACTGCCCTGTAGGCACCTCTGCTTTAGAAAACAAACAAATACAGCTGATTGTTGGTGGGAAGTACAGTAGGCCTACTTTTGATACAAAATATAGTTCACAGGAAATATTACGGCACTAAGGCTCCAAGCAGTCTGAGTGTATTGTTTTGCAAAAACAAATCTAACATTTTATTTATTTATCTATTTTTATTTGTTTAGTCTTTTTATGTAGGGATTTGTATTCAAAATACATGTTTGGTGCAAAAATGTATAGGTGTATATACACAACCTATTAAAAACAATCTTTTCAAAAATTTTGGAGAATGTTGGCGGTAATGAAATGGGCCAATATTTAGTTAGTTCTTTTGGATTGCCTTTATTTATAACTGGTATCACGTTTGAGAGCTTTAGTACATCCGGAAACACACATGTATAAAGTTGAGCAAGTCGGATTGAAATATAAGATGAACATTGTTTTAAGCTAAAGGGTGATATTTCATCCCATCCACACGATTTAGAGGGTTTTAAGTCGTTAATTATTTGCTGAATTTCTTGAGGATCTGTAGTTTTTAATGATATTAACATGGAATTAAGTTGGACCACTTGTATTGAAAATGTTATTGAGCTTTCAGGATCAGAATTAACATTTAGAAGTTTGCAGGTTTCTGTAAAGAATTTGTTAACATGATTTAACTGATTTTGTATGTTTGCGGATTCGGATTAAAAAGGAAATTTATCTATTTTACTGGCAGAAGTATTTGTTTCTGTTTTTACTATTTGCCAAGCAGTTTTGGTCTTGTTAAATGATTTTTTTAGTTTTATTTTTATTATGTAATATTTTAGCAGTTTTTATACATTTACTGAGCACTTTGCGGTACTTTTTAACTAGTTTTAAAAATGCAGATTTTGTGGATTTTTTGCTGAGCTCAAAAAGTTCCCGTTTATGTTTACTAGATCTTTTAATCCCACTTGTCAGCAAACCTTTATCTTTATTCCGGTTAAGACTATTTTTAGCCTTTACTAATGGAAAAGACGCATCAAAATATAGTTTGAAAATATGTAAAAAAACCTTATAAATAGTATTTACATCAGATATTACATACAATTTCTGAAAGAAGCAAGACCAATCCTCCAATTTTAAAGCATTGACAAAATTGGAAATATTAACCTTAGAAAAATGTCTTACGTATATTGTTTTTTTTGTTAACCACAGGTTCTATATGTTTCTTAGTAGGCTAATACATCCACAATTCACTTGAAGACACTGAGTAAAGTGATCAGATAAACCATTTTGTACAACAGAAGGCAAACATAAATTAGGTTTTAAATTAGTTATAATATTATCGATACATGTACTAGAAACATTTGAAACGCAAGTGGGTACCTTTATAGTTGTAAAAAGATTGAAAGAATTTAATGTTGAAAGAACTCTTCAGATTGAGAACTATTTTCAAAATGTTAATGTTAAAATCTCCTGCAAGTATAATAAAGGATTTAGGATTCTTAAGAATAGAATGTTGTAAAAGAGAACGCAAGCTAGAAAAAAATATATCATACACAATTTTGGTATACACAGTAGGTCTGTAGACACAAAACACAATTAATTCAATAGGGTGCATGATCTGATCACCACAACACTCAAAATAAGAGTCAACCGTAAAGTTTCCAAGATCAGGCCTTAATTCAATATTGTAATTATTACTAACCAAAACACAAACACCACCTCTTTTTTGTTTCTCTTTGCAATATGAACCAGCTAATAGAAATTGAATTGAATTGAAATAGTGCTACTTATAGATTTTTTACTATTATTCAAACGCAAATGTTAGTTAACCAATGTTGCTACACATGCACTTGGTATGTATATTGACCACTAATGGTAGCCTGTACTTGAAACATTATGGATCAGGTTTATGTACTTAGTCAAATTAAATGACATATCATACTTGGATTGTAACATCAAATAACAAGAACATTAGGTTACAGTTATTAAGCTCTTGCTAATATAAAAACATATAGCTTAACAGGTACATTAGCCTTTTATTGGTTTAAAATAGTCCATAGATATTCTTTAAACTGGTTTTTATTGGTTAGGCTGCCTGCTCTAGTAAGATCACACAGGTTGCTAATCCAAATTTGCTTCTACTATTGTTGGGGGCATGAAATAGATATCATCAAAATGTACAGTAGGTCTATACATTATCATCTTTAACTCATTTTTGTTTCAAACCAAAGTTTCCTACATCATTCTTTGGCAAAAAGTATAAAGATAGAATATTTTTAAACTTTAATTTAATGTATTTCTTTTTTTAGAACAAAACCAAGAACTTAAGAACATCTTGTGTAATCGGCATCTGAGAGACATGCTAGTAGCGATCGACAAGTCTGTTAATCCAGCTGCTGCAATGCAACAAGCAATGTTGGAGCCTATATTTGTTGAATTTACTGATGAATGTCTAAAAATTGTTGAACCTGCTGAAGAATCTAGTCAGTAAATTGTGTTACTCAAGTTTATTGAACTTAATTTAGAAAAACAAATATGCAGCGAGAAGAAAAGCAGTTGGAAGTCGCTTTAGACGCAATCATTTTGCGTGTAAATGACCTCAAATATGCCATTGGCTCTATGGTCGCCAAACTTGAAAACGAATACGAGACAATGAACTGGCCTCAGTTTTTGGACAACTTTGCGTTAATCTCAGGCCAACTTACGGCATTGTCAAAGATGTTAGCTCACGACAAGTCTCCGCCTTTACGTAACCTGACGGTGCTGCCACTTCACCTCACACCGGAAAGAGACGAAGAACTGGTTCGAATGACAGAAGGGAGGATTCCAGCCTTTTCACACGCTATTGTACCGGACTATTTAAGAACTAAACTTGATCCAGAAATTGAACACAAAATGCATGTGCTGGAACAAAAGGCGGTTGCGATGACGATGGAGCAGTATCAGAAACAAGTGGCGACTTACACCAAAGTTGTAGGACACGTGTGGGAGTTGGTGAGTAAGATGAGAGAGGAGTGGGAGAGTGAAGGGGGAGCTAGGGGAGCAACTGCGCAGACATCCTCCATGGCTGACACACACGCCCTGGTGGCTGCCATAGCCATGGGGAAGGGACTCAAGCCCCTGGTGCCCCAGGGTGTTCAGCAGAACGTCCCAGGGGGGATGATGGTCGCTCCTGTTGGACCCCCGGGTAGTATGAACCCCAACCAACCCGGAATGGGACCCATGGGTAAAGCCCCCAGTGCAATCAAGACCAACATCAAAGCTGGAAACCAAATGCACCCTTATGGACGGTAGTGTTTTTACTCATTTGGTATGACAAAACATTAATTAGGTTAAAATGGACCAGTTTTATATTGTATACAGGCTGGGAACTATACCTCAATTGTAGAACAAAGCAAATAATAATAGTTAATTATTTGTTAAATAGTTATATTTTTACTTTTAACAATATTTAATTTTTTTGCAGATTTTTTGTTTTCCAATAATTTGTATAATGTTTTGTTATGGACCTATTATTATCATGTTAATACTGTAATTTTTTTCTTTACCTTTTCTTTAAAATGTAAAGTAGAAATGTCAACCTAATGCTTTTGCTACTGGTAACTGATATAAACTGCAGTACAATACATTTGTTCTTATTTACCTAACTTTCACATGCAAAAATAAACCTTATAAATTTGATTTATTGTATTTTTTATGAGTTCAAATTGTGTTTTCCATACTAAATAAATATCCCTCTGCTTTTCTTTTTTAACATGGCTTGTTGCTTATTTTAAGACTCTTCTAGAGTGGAGTACCTAAGAAAAATTGACAGTCTCAAGTTTTTAGTGGTATTTTTTTATGTTGCCTCCATTGACCAATTTTCCGTGCAGCAATTTAAATACTGGTAAAAATGCTGTTTTAGTATATATCACATAAACAAACCAATGGTGGCTTTAGTGGTAAAGTAGTACAGACGGATTGTTTCCTAACCGACAATGCCTGGCTCATCATAAATTTGATTATATCACTAAGCCACTGAGCTGCAGAATTCAGTAAAATAAAATGGTAGGAACAAAACAATACACCCGACCCTGTTGATTACACAACGTTTATTTTGAATAAATGTAGAAAAATTATAAGTTAAAAGTATAAATGGTGTTTTCACAGAAAACAAGTATGACACTACGACAGACTTACCTACACTGCCTAAGCATAACAGGCCTAATGGATATTATTGTACTTATGTTTAACTTTAAGTATATATATCTTCTTAACAATATAATTTTCACACAACAGAACTAATGTCAGGGCCGGTTTAACCCATACGCGAACTAAGCGGCCGCATATGGCGCCACAAAAAATTGGCGCTGGGCGCCAACGGTAAAATTTTTTATTAGTGAACAACGTAATTTTGTTAATTTTCGCTCAGAGTTCAAGTATTCAAAGCAACAATTAACAATTAAGGCATTTATTCTGTTTGTACCAACAGCATATGAAAAATGCGTATATTTGTACAGCACTACAACTCATAAGGACTTAATGCCATTTGTAGTTTCGATTTGTAGTGAGCTCTGACGCTCGGCAGTCGGCAGTAGGCAGCGTACTACAGCGCGGCGCCTGTGGGTTTTATTTCATGACTCATGTTCTGAACCACATTCTGATGCTCTGAACCAGATTGATACCAACTCTGAAATTAAAGAATTTGCCAAGATCAAAGCTATGAAAATTAATTTTTAACTGCTAAGAGCTTTTGAACTGTTCAAATTGATAATTTTGTATTCTTTTTGTAAAGGTAATAAATTTGGTTTTTCATGTTTTCTTCATGTTTAATGTGTTCAATTAAAAATTCCTCTCTTGTCATCTATCTACACCTGTTTTTCATTGTAATAGGCTTTAACTTATATCGTATCCAAGTTATCCTGTAATGGTATATTACGTTACTAGTCCTGAAAATAAGTGTTTACCGGACGAGTGTGGTCGTTGCCGTGCGGGTCGAGTACGGGATTACCATACGAGTCCGGTTAACACATTTTGGACAAGTTACGTACGATAGTTTACGCCACACTACTAAATCTGTACAAATCCGTACATATTACCACCAACTAAAGGACTAAAAATCACTAGTCATAACCTTTAAGAGAGGTTATGTTTTTGTTTATAACCACTCATTGTCACCCAAATACAGTGTAATCAGCTGATTGGTGTCCGGTAAAACTCATTATAGTACAGTAGTACGCAAAGAAATCCCATTTGATTAAGCTGGCGGCAAACAGCCGTTTTCTGGACTAAATCCTTGTGTGGGAAGTTCGTCAAAATAGTGTAGTGTGGCGTAAAAATTTTTTTCACATTTAGAAATAAATTGTTAACTTAGGCCGTGATGCTCGTCAAGCATGACGTCACGATAGAAGACGGCAATGACGTAGGTATTTATTTATTTATTTTCCAAGGAAAGATTAAAACAAGCAGCTCATCACAAACGGCAAATATTACGTCATTGCCGTCTTCTATCGTGTCGTCATGCTTGACGAGCATTACGGCCTGTTTTTTTAGTGTAGCCTTGGTTTTGCTAAAGTTTATACGATGAGTAAAAGTGTAAAAATGTTAAATTCCTGGGAATAATAAACAGTCTTTTATTGCAAGTATTCTTCTAACCTAAACTTACAAAAAAGTTCTTCCCAAAATCTTTGGGAAAAAATTCACAAATAGAGTTAAGTAATGTTCATGGGTTGAGGGTGGGGTGGTGGGGGGGGATTCTAAGTGGCGCTGATTCGGGTGTTGGCTTAACTCTGAAAAATTCCTAGAACCGGCCCTGACTAATGTGACATTACAAAATGTCTTTTATCTTTTAACAATTAATTGAAACTCTTTATTGCGGTCATTCAAGGTATGCTGTGATCAAATTTCCTTCATAATTCATCTCTATGACTTGGTGCAAAATACAACTCCAAATCGTCAGGCTGGGGTGCTCCATCCAGCAAGGCAGCAAGTTTGAAGTTTCGTCTTCTGACATAAAACGCAGCTGACTTGGGTTGTCTTTGACGTGTGAAAACACCCTTCTTGTTTCCTCCCACTCGAGTAATGGCTGAAAATAAAAAATCAAATTTAACTTAAAAAGATACATTACGATTATGCACTATATTCTTTAATAGTTAAAACGTATAAACCTTTTCCCCCTACTTCAGATCAGTACCACTGTTGATAAAAATGCTATTCATGGCTATCCAGTCATGTATTTACTGCAAGGGAGACCACTATAATGAACAGATATAAAACTCATCAAATGAATGTACAGTAGGCTACCATTACACATTTAGATAAAGGTTACTGCTATTTTTTTATGCCATGTTTTCCATTAGTATCATCACGATGTGACACTGGACATGGTCACTCGAGCTACTCACTCTTAACTGCTCCTGTGTTAACCGCATTCGGCAAAAACTGTCTGTTGGCAGGCTTGGAATTTTATATTTACCAGGGGTCTCCAACCTATGGCTCTTGCAGGGACAAGCTGATGCCCCCTGCCTAGCAAGGCGTCAACCCCTCCCCAGGATAGATAAACACAGATCGGCAAATCTTAGATCCAGCAAGGTATTTAAATAATATAAATAAACGTGCCATTTCATTATTACTGCTTTCCTAGATTCAACCAAGAGTTTGTACCATTTCAAAGTGTAATGATGAAGTGCAAAATAATATTTCCCTAAAAGGACATTTATTCAGCATTCATTTGCCGCAAGTAACATAATAAAATATTAATAAATAATGCCGTAAAAAAAAATGCAACAACGATATATTGTTCCATAACAGTCTGCGGGTAAAAGACAAGGAACGATATTGTTCCATAGCAGTCTGCGGGTAAAAGACGAGGATTGATATATCGTTCCATAGCACCGAAAGGGTTAATCAAAATAATGTTGTATGAAGTGGAATAACCTCAACGGTCACTCTTAGAAAACAACCTGGGAATAAAGATGAAATAGGTTCGTACAGGCAATATATTTGTTCATTAAGTAAGTACTATGACAAGTTCCAATGGGCGGAAAAACAATATTGTTTGGAGGATATTTTAACCAGGTACTGCCTGTTGCTCCAAGCAGAAAAGATTCAAATAATATAGCCTAGCATGCACGGTGGTGAAGGGGGCAATATAATAGTAAAACCTAGAGGTAGTTTCCGTTTCTTAAAAGTAACCAAAAAGATGGACTTCGAAGATGCCGATGAAAATTAATTTCATGATTGGTTTCGTTAACTGGGTAATGGAACCCAGTCCCAAAATAAGTAGGAATCAGCCGATGATTAGGCCTATTTAGATAGCATATGTAAAGTCAATCGCACCTTTAGGAGGGATACCACCACGTAAACTTACAGTACAGTTTTATGTTGATCAGAAACAAATCTAGGGTTAAGTTTGGTCAATGGGATGCCTTTACTTTACATTTACACTAATGTTGTTAAACCCAGTGGCGGTTCCAGAGAGGGGGCCATGCCCCCCCCCCCCAAGAATCAGGTTTTTTAAATTTTTTTCAAGCTTTATAATTTGAAAAATTTACTTAAAAATTGCCGCGCACATCCCCGTTTCCCACCATCCTATGCCTTCCTCACGTCAGTGCGTCAGTCATACAGTACATACTACTACCCACTATAAAAAAAAATGCGGCTCAGTAGTTAGTTGAGTATTTGTTTTGTTACGTTTTTTTTTTTAAGTAACACAGTTTTACAAGATTCAACATATATGCATCCCTCCACTGAAGCACAAGCACATGACAAAATTATAATGGTAAGTAATGGAAGCGTTTAAGGCTTAAGCTTTGCTTAGCTGTTTTCTAAGTTAGGTTAGTCTAGACTCATGATTGAGCAACCGCCATTACAGTACTACGAGTGCGACGTTGCCGATGTCTACCTGACTACCACACTGTCGTTTCTACAGAGTAATCACTCATGTAGACATGTGCGTTCGAGTGTATACATCATCAATGTTGCAGTGTCGCACGCTCACCCGCCTGGCTGGGAAATGTACAGATACCATCTATAACTTAATACGGAGTACGCTTAATCTAATACTCCTCTGGATACTGGCGTGCTGTGTGGTGGAAAAACGGGCCGTGCCCACCGGCGGGTCGTATGGACCTCTCTCTTTTACACAAACATACCTTTGCTACACTTATTTTTTAACATAAAGATTTCAAATTTATATATTTTTAGACAGCGCTTATTACTGTGTACTTAGTTTGAACCTTAACATATTTTTTTATAGTTTATTTAGGCAAATTAAGATTGATGGTCGATTTTTAACAGCACTAAAAACGTCAAAAATGTAGTAAGCGAGGAACTTTTTTATTATCTGAAACAATCATTGTTAAAGGAATACAATGCGCGTCGACATCATGAAACAAAACATTTAAAAATAGATAGGTGAAATTACAGGGCCGGTAAGAACAGAAAAATGTTTATCAATGGTTTAAGGAAGTTTTGCATTTAAACTCTCCCTTTCAGATTACAAGAGAATCAAGAGATTAAACTTTTTCTTCGTCAGAGTGCTTAAAATGTCGACTTTGTAAGTATAACTTTCCAAAACTTCCGGGGGAGGACCCCTGACCCCCCTCCCACAATGGGGGGTATCCCAAATCCCCTGGAGGTTGTGGCCATGCTGGCCTAGAATTGGAATAACCCCACATCCTCGATAGAATGGCCCCCTCCGAAAATTAGCCCTGGACCCGCCCTTAGTTAAATCTTAACAAAAGGAGTATAAACTTAGAAATAAAAACTGGGATAATTTAGCGGTTTTGACCAGGAAATGAGCTTATCTCAAAACACGTATATTTGCTTTTTCATATTTATTTGAGGAAGACAATAATTTCTAAAATTCCAACCAGGGAAGCTTTTATTTATCCTCATTAACAATAAGACCAAAGCTACCTTAGTAAACCAGTGTTTATTCACAAACAATGTGTTTGCTGCCTTTTCATGTTAAACCTCTGCAGTGATTCAAATTATTTATTGAAAATAACATCAACAAATAAAGCAAACAAAGACGGACAACAAACTGTTTTTTACACAAATCTATGGTGTACATAGGGATACCTATCCTGACACATAGATACAGTAGAACCCCGGTTAACCGAAACGGTTCCATAAAATAATACAGGGCTAAAATATGTAATACTAGTGTACACATGTTGCTAGAATTCGAGCAATTGCAAAGTATTACAGGAATTTAAAAACTAACAACAGTCGTATTTTCCGATTATTTTAAAGTAGTAAACTCAAAGATAATAGTGCTTAATGGAACTACTCACGATGACCATACAGCTCGGTATAATCAAAATATCTTGTAAATATTTGGAAAATTTAGCATATGACGGGTTAACCGAAAAATTGGTTATCCGAAATGGCTCTCCCCCCTTTATTTCGGTTAACCGGGGTTCTACTGTATTGTTATTCTGATTTTTTTTTATACCGGAATCGCAATAAGTTATTTTACATTTGAACTTTTTAGGGACTTATGTCCCTATAAGCCACTAGTTATCTTTATTTCAAAAGAACAATCATGAAAATCTGTTATGTTATCAATTCATAATCTTTGAATAAACAACCCCCACATGACAGTATATAAGTATATAACTGTACATTCTGTACACCTAGGGACTTGTTTTGCATAGTGTTGCAGCTCTCTGGAGATGTTGCAAATTTCAGTAAAATATCATGATGAAACGCTGAACTTTAATATTAATGTCAGAAAAATACCCGTAACAATTTATAACAGATTTTAAAAATGGTTATTTGGTGAATAATACAAAAAGTAGGCTCTGGTGAGTATTGGTACATTTTAGTACATTTGAATTTGCTACAAAAACTGTAAGAAAAACTTACACTGATCCGTCTTGAAGTCTGCAAAGTTCCAAATCATTTCTCCCATAAACCATCCTTTCTTCCTTAGGTTGTCAAAAGCTTTGAAATGTTCAGAAAACACCCTCTTCTGATACTCTTCAGTCCAGATGTACTCGGGCAACTGCAACCAGAGGTAATTTTGTTTAAACTAGCTGCTGTAATCGTGCTTCGCAACGGAGAGGACACTGAAGAGTCCTAGTTGAAGAGTATTAGTTGAAAAACATAAACGTATATATTAAGTTTAATAATTATAATAGGTATTATTAATAGGTAAAAAATAATTGCATAACACAGCCTACTGTACTAAAGTTTAAAAAATACTGTTTATATTGATTTTACATAGGCTAAAACTGATTGTTTTTTTTTGTTTGTTGATTGTTGATTGTTTTTCCAAAATACTGAACAATAGTCAGTGAACAATAGTCACAGGGACAATAGTCAGGAATCTTTGCCTGCAGCTCATTATGTAAGGCCGGGGCCACACTTGTAATTTTTAACCCGCGAGACTGTTTTTTCCGTTTTCACGTGCGACGCACAAGGAACAGTTTGACCATGACCACACTCGTCTTACGAGATAGGTATTCGGGCTAACCAGCCTATGCCTTTGAATTTTATTGCAGCTATAGAGGTGAATAGAAATACAAATTTTATATCAAATTTTAATTGATTGATACCTTGGAATTAGGCCTAGATTTATAAATTCAGTGATTTTTATTTGATAGAAATGTAGTAATTATTAATTTAATCCAAATTATTAAATAATTATAGCATTTAAAACCACCTTAGGTCCCTTTACTGCACCTGCGGCATGCAGCAAACATAGGCTAACTGCTAACTATTGTTGCCGTGAGAGGACCCCATGTTCCTTGCTTTATTTCTGGTGGGGGGCCTCCTCAAATCACCATCTAGCCGAGGGCATCCAATGGAGCCAGACCGGGCCTGGTTAATGGTTACAGTTTGATCGAATTTGCCAAATTTTTTTGCGTCATACTAAACTTTTTCCTTCTCTGTACATGCAAACCTAGATAGGTATCAGACCTACTCTTTAAATCTAATGTTATTTAAATAGGGAAAAAAATCTGACAGTTTTTAGTAAAATTCAATCAGATTTTTCCATTAGTCTGCAGGTTTCTTGCGGCAGGGGTATTATTAATCACAAAATGTACAGTTCAAAATACCGGGTGTCCATAAAGTATTCATAGAGTTTTAAAATACTTTAATGATCTTACAGACACGAATGCTACAACCAATTGCATGGATTGAAAGAGACAAAAGGCTCTAAAGTTTTGTTTGATATCACTAAAGTTGCTCAATATGCTGTCCATTTTATTTGCAATCTGTGTTGCAACTGTGCCCTTTGCAGGGCCGGATTTCCCAATAGGCCCGGTAGGCCCGGGCCTATGGGCGCAAGCTCCCAGAGGGCGCAAGGCCGAGAGGAATACATATTTTTTAAATATTAAAAAATAAAAATAAATAGTCATAGTCGTGAAAAAAAAACTCTGGCTAATAAAGCATTCTGATTCTGAAGTTTATATAGGAAGAAATTAATGTTCGAAGATTCAAACTATTTTTCAGAATTACGCATCAATTTCGTTACAACATATTGGTAACGAACATTGGTACGGGAGTAGGCTGTAGAGATGTTGTCGAGCGCCCGAGCGGTACGCATCGTATTGCCACTATGTTGGCTCGGTGCTACTGATCGGAGTGATTAGGGGTGCATGCGTGCTAGACACTGTTACCACAAAACACACAAAACTAATAACTCACAAAACAAAAGTTATTGACTAATCTTTTGATTAGTTTACAACAATCTGCAGGATCAAGTTAAAATATGTAATACGTTGTGTTGAATATATAAAAAAAAATGATCAATTTATCTTTAATTAAAATTAACGAAAAAATATTAATCTCAGTTTGCAACAGGTTTTCGATAAATTCAATACCTTCCAAATAGGGATGGTCAAGTCTCGAAATTTCGGGAAATTTTCGGGAAATTTTAAATCTCGTTACACGAGACGAGATTTCTTTTTGGCCGAGATTTTTACCGAGACGGGAATAAAAAAAAAAAAATAAATAAAAACGCCTGCAGAAAGTCAATGCAATACCCGCAATAGAGCGTGTTGTAGTTGCGTTTCCTTTGTGAAGGCGTTCTTATTTAATTAATTCTTTAAATGTAAATATTACTTTAATTATTTTAATAATATTACTTTAATAACATTTGAGAAGTTTTGTAAAGTGTAAGCAGTGTGAGGAATGTTTTATTACTATAAAAAGTCAAAACAAGTAACTATTTTATAAAAATTAATACTGCTTTTATTTTATGACTTATTTTATTTTAGGATAAGTTGAACTCTATCCTAACTGATATCACTATGTTTCCTAATCGTAGGCATTTTTAATAAGTTAGGCGTGATTAATAAAAAAATGTTATGCTGATGTTTTTTAATAAAAGATTGTAAATATTCTTGCCTATTATCATTATTTTTGTATTTAAACAGTCATCTAACAATGTTACAAAATCAGGTAAAAATTTTGAAAGTGCATTTCCCGTTGTGTATGAGAAGGGAAATCCCGTCTCGATCTCGTCTCGAAATTTTATGAGAAATAAAAAATCTCGTCTCGTCTCGAACTAAAAATCCAATCTCGTCCATCCCTACTTCCAAAGCACCATTAATGCTGTAATTTTCTCCTCAGACCTAATAATCGATATGGTTGGCCGGAATATTGCTCTGTTTTGCTTTGGAAATATAACCTAGATGCAGTACCACCATAGATTAAATATAACTCAAGTCAACTAGCTATCACATTGTTAATTCAATTTTTTTTTTCATGTCTAGTTCACGTTGGTAACACTAGACGTTAATTTTGACCAGTTTTGACATACTTTTGTTTCTATTATTTTAGGGTTAGTTCTATGATGTGTGTTTTTTAATTTCTTGTAATAGAACCAGGAGACGACCTATTGTTTATAATTACGTCGTTTTATTTAGGATAAACTAAGTTTAAATAACAAGAATTGTTTTAAGCTAGTCCATAATGATGACAAATCTACTAAAGGAGTATGTTTAATCTATGGTATCACGTACTTAATGGAGTTAATGTTTTTGGGCCTGAAATTGGAATCAATGGCCATGTTTTTTGCAGGAATGCTCGGTGGGTTGAGTTGTATTGTTTGAGTCCCACAAATGTGAGCATTTAATAAAAGCATAAAATTTCTAAAAGTGTACAAGACTGCACTTTATTAATGAAAATGAGTCAATTCTTCAAAAAACTTGCAATGATAAAATTCCGACCAGAAGTGGTATTCAAGCAATTAACTTAGACAAATGGGCATGATAACTGTGGCCAGACTAGGGGTGGAAAATTATTTGGGCCTAGGGGCGCCAAAATGCTAAATCCGGCCCTGGCCCTTTGAAACGTTGGTATGCATATCCTGGCTTACTGTTGTCACTGCAACTTTAATCCTTTCTCGGAGCTCTGGCAGGGGTTGAGCTAATGGCATGATGTCCCTCTCCATAACCCTAGAGAACGAAATCACATACAGTAAGGTCCGGGAAATGGGGTGGCCACCTTAGGAGAGCTCATCCTCAGCACAGCGGCCAACCAAACCATCAGAGAGTTTCATAATTAAAAAGCTTCGGACGTTGCAGAGCCAATGAGGCGAAGCCACGTCATGGTGGAACATAAAGTCTTCCATGCCCTCTTCAAGTTAGGAACACAACCATTGCTCATAAATGTCCGGATATGCAACACCAGTTACAGTTAGTTAGAAACACTGTTATCATATCTTAACACAAAGAAGGATATTTTCTTCGTCATTTTGAAAACAGCTAATGAAAGTAAACAATACCCCTGCCGCAGCAAACCTGCAGACTAAGCAAATTTCCATTTGCCTGATTGGATTTATACTAAAATGTCTCCTTACAAATATGACATTTATTCCCTATTTGAAAGGCAATATTTTAGCGAGTACTAAGGTTTGCTGCAACAGGGAGGGTAGAAAGGTATTTTATGTAAAATGTTAATAGGCCTAGCGTAGTATGTAATGAATACATTTTCCTAATTTTATCAAAATATGCTCATAAACGAGCAAACTACGACAGTTTACAATTTTCTCAGTAGCCATTAGGCGTACGGTAGCATAATAACGCTTCAATATACTACATTATTTGTTTTTTAAGCTCCACAAAATGGTTTGGAAAGAAGTTGCTACATTTTTTGTTTTTAGGGTCAAAAATGGGGAAAACAAATTTTTACCCCTTAAGACCATGTTCCCGTAGTACGATCATGCCGGTTCACAAACTCGTTCGAATAAAAGTAGGTTTACACATTTGTACCAAATTTCATAAAAATCAGATAATTTTTGCTTGAGTTATGACGCTAACGGACACATATAAATACAGGGTGAGGCAGTGGAACGGCACGATTTAAAAAAAATCATGAATAATTTATTTAGAAGAAAAAGATAGTTGTTTTATCATAAATCCTAAGTACATGAGTGAAAATTAATGTTTCACCTTAAAAATAAAAATATTGTTTAATACAGTGTCAGTAAAATGGCGTATTAGGTTTTGCACATATTTTTTAATTATGAACCCCATGACGGTTTTTAGCGTTTCCATAAAGTCTGCAATCATTTTATAGCGCTTTATCGTGCTAGCAGCGGCTTCAAAGTTATTTACCCAAAGGAGGGTAGCTTTCCTTGATGGCACGGGAGCCCGCTGCATTAGACTGAACTCACAACAAAAAGTGTGCTGAACACAAACCATTATATACACGGTTTTATAAATATGGCTTTCCAGCAAACGTGTGTTGTGCACTCGTCCAACGCTCCATGGCTACTGAAATTTCCACTTGTCTAGACGGCTATGGCCATTTCCACTGTGCTCTAATAGCCCTCAATTCCTTGTCAGCTGGTATCGTAATCGTGCCGTTTCACTGCCTCACCCTGTATATACAGGGTGAGTTTTAATTGCTCCCCCCCCAACTTTTTTCTTCATTTTTTCAAATATCAATCCCAGACCACTTCCAAGTGAGTACTTCATTTTGACAAGGTGGTCATTTCTAGCCGCCATCTTGAATTCGCCATATTGGATGCAAAGTATTGTTTTCTAATGTAAAAGGTGGGGTTGTGTCCCAATATTTTGAACTAGATTTTTACCCTGATTACAATACCACAAACCGTTAAAAAAATCTTTTTATCCATTCAAAAGTTATGAGGGCTTTTAAAAACTGTATTTTTAGCCCATTTTAACATTGTGCATTTACAAAACTAAAGGCTAGTACTCACTAGGACACCCGGTCGCTTATCAACCGGCGATCTGGTTGACGAGCGACCAAATTGCACAAATATCGCCGTGTGTGTACGTGTCTGTCAATTTGATTGACGGCGATTTGTAGGTTGCCAGGCAACTTTTTGGTTTTCGGACATGTATCGAAAACCTGGGGGTTTCCGATCAACCATTTTATCGCCGGGCAATCAGATTTCTCAAAAAACTAGAGTGTGTACGCTTCAGCGACCAAGTTGATCAACTAAAGACGGCTAGCGCATGCGCAGTACACTGTTTGTGTCAACTGTCAAAACTAAACAGTGCTAGTGCTAAACGTGGTCTCTTTCAAGCTAGCTTTTTTTCCAATATGAGGCGTCACCAATGGCAAAGTGTGACGGAAATTGTCGTCTGACATCCTCAAATAATTCTTGTAATCCTGAGGATTATCATCTCGCAAAGTTCGTAGAAGTGCCATGTGGCTGTAACTGAGTCTGCGTTGAAGCCACTCTTTAGCCCAAAATCTTTTGAACAATGTATTCCTTCTTCTATGGTTACTGAAATTAATTAGAATTATAACTGCGGCAGCAATCTCTTCTTCGTAGGTGGGCATGTTGTCACAACACACAGGTCAGTGCAACTAGATTCCAGAACCAAACACAGTCCATCCCCACCAAATTTTGATTTCCAGCTTGGTTGAAAGTGCTAGGTATCCTAGTGTGTACCCCCCGGCAATAAAACGTTCAATCATCAACTTAGTCGCTCGTCAACCAGGTCGCCGGTAGATAAGCGACCGGGTGTCCTAGTGAGTACTAGCCTTAAGACCATAATCTCAATATAGTGCTAGATAAAGATAAGTATACACCACCAGTCATTGTAGACATATTTTCACTTGGATATGAGGGATGTTATTTTTTGGCCGCCATCTTGGATCCGCCATTTTGAAATGTGATAAATTATTTTAAATGTGAAGGGGGGGTTTTGACCCATCATTTCGAATTACTTTTTTTCAAATTACTCAATGCCGCAATCAATTTTTTTTGTCAAGTTTTTTTTGTGAAATATTTAAACTTTTTTGATAAGAATGTCAATATTTCAAAATCAAAATATGATAATAAAAAACAAAAAGTTTTTAAAAGCTCCCATATCTTTTGAATGGATCAAGATTTTTAAAAACGGTTTGTGGCATTGTAATCAGGGTAAAAATCTAGTTCGAAAAAATGGGTCACAACCCCACCTTTACATTATAAAAAATATTTTGCATCCAATATGGCGAATCCAAGATGGCGGGCGGAAACGACCACCTTGTCAAAATGAAGAACTTACTATCCAATAATGTTTGGAAGTGGTCTGGGATTGACATTTGAAAAAATGTAGAAAAAAGTTGGGGGGGGACAATTAAAACTCACCTCGCTAACGGACACATAAATATATATGTATGAATTTCAACGGATAGAGTTTTTGGCTTCTAGGGAACTCAAAATTGGTCCCGAGTCCAGGTCTTACCATGAGTACAGTGTATACTACGGTAATAGCTTATTCCCTAGATGGGAAATTTGCAACAAATGAACATATCATTATAAAACTTAGAAAAATTCTCTTACTGTGGGTCACACAGTGTCGTGGGATAAAAAATAATTGATATATATTTCATTAAAACCTAATGATTATTTTACGGACACTCTGTATTTTAAGCGTGGATAAAAAGAAATCTAAAATCATTAGCATATCTCACTCACATTATGCAGTCCTTCATAAGTGTCGGCCCCGTATTCAGACATGATGACGGGTTTGTTGTGTTTTTCATGCCAATTGTTGGCCTCTGTCTCCACTGCCAGCTGTATAGTCTGCCAACGCCCAGGCTCAGAGTACCAGCCGTTGTAGCGGTTGAAGCAAATCACATCCATCCACTGGCCCTGAGCAAAACAAAACTATGCATTTGAAAAGTACTCAGAATTGGTACTAAGTCAAGTCAAAATATAGGCCTTGTGTAAACTTAATAGAATACCTATTCTAACCAACCCACTCACTAAGGGAGTGTTACAGCTGAAACTACTAACATGAAAACCATACAGATTAAATACATAAATAACCAAGCAATTAACTTAGAAACATGGGAATTGTTTCATTAAATAGCAAATTCAAAGCAGTTTTATAGGTGACCTACAGTGACTGAAAAAAATATTTTAAAAATGTCAGTAATTATAAAAATTGGTTATAAAAAGTCTGTAAAAATCACATAAACTGTGAGTGTAAGTTTTGTTCTTAATGACCCAGGGCCTCCCTATCTAATTATTTCCATAAAAAGAAAGGGAACTTTCCCTGCACAACTACACATTATGCTCTTTCCAATGACACCAAAAACATGTCAATCGGTCCAGTAGTTTCGGAGGAGTAATTGTCACAAAAACCCTGCTTGCGGATTAAATATTATTAAATAAGTATAGATTTATTATGATTTTGACTATAGAAACTCTTATAATTGACAATATAGTTCAATTAGTGGGTCTTCATTTCCCTGTTGAAGATAAGTATCTATTAATGTAGTTATGTATTAATTAAGTAGTTTGTCATAAAAGTTTATGATTTTTAACTAAAAGCATAGATAAAACATACTCCCTCAGTAGATTTCCCATCCTTATGGAACAGCTGAAGCCAACTTTAACGTAAGTTCTGCCCGGTGCACTGTAGATGTTGTGTTTTGTTTAGAATTTGTTTCTTGTTATTTCAGTCATTTAAAACCCCGTTTAACCAAATAAAACGATATAATCATAATCATAAACAATTGACTCATCCTCTAGCTATAACCAATAGTTACAAAGAGTCAGTACAAACCATGAAATTAACTCAGAAATAAAATAAATAAAAATAATAGAAACAAAATTTCGTCGACACTAGCCACCAGTGTTGCCGGACATGATCTAGACACAAAAAACAAGCTTCAAAATTTACAATGGGATGGGAAGTCTACTTGTGTTGGCTAGTCTATGCTATCCAACACAAACACCTACAGCAAAAGCAATTATGAAAGAAATTGTCTATTTATGTCACAAAAAATGAATATGCTAACTGAGCTAATCATAAGTAGAACTACAGTATTTGTATTATTACTGTAATATTTCTAGGTCCTACATTTAATTACTCACACCATCCCTTAGTGTACGTGATTGTTATGATGGTATAACCTCTTGTTAGTAACAAGAAACATAAGTTCTGATATACTTACTGCTTCGTCTTTGCTATTGGGGGTTGCAATCACAGCTGTGACTGGTCGTAAATGGTCAATGGATTTCACAAATTTCACCACTTCTCTAAAAATTTTAATTCGGTGTAAGCCAATTGAGTTAAATAGTTATGACTGTAATTAGTCGTTAATGATTTGTTGTATTAGTAGCAAGTACGTAACCCAAAGCATATCTCAGTTTAATGTTAAGCAATAAGTTAGTGTTTCTATCACATACTGTAAGCTTTGCAAATTTAAATAAAGTTTTACATACAATCTTTAAGAAAGAAAAAATGCATGCATAGTGATTCTAGCGAATTTCCCAATAGGGAAGTAGCTATTACCGTAAATGGCACGGTAAGACCTAGGCCCGGGACCGATTTACTTTTTCATTTTGCTCTCCCCAGAGGCCAAACACACCATTGGTTCAAATTTTTGTATATATATATATATGTCTGTGAACACGATGACTTGAGTAATTTTTGTCCGATTTTGATGAAATTTGGTTTGAATGTGTAAGGCGGGATAAACATAAATGAGTTCGCGAACGTGATGAGAGACGTTATATACAGAGGAGTGTGCCGGCTGGGACTGAACCTGCTAACACACTCACTCCCACGTGATGAGAGACGTTATATACAGAGGAGTGTGCCGGCTGGGACTGAACCTGTTAACAGGTTTTCTCCCGTGGTCTGCATGTACTGTTAGCCAAGTGACAGCCAGTCTATCTGTAAGATTAAACTGTATATTTCGGTCCGTGGCAATGATCGGGGTGTCACATATACGCGACGCTCGGTAGCGAACAAGTTAAAAATATAATTTCAGATGCAGAGAGAGGGGAAAGTAAACCAATTTTATGAAGACTGGCTAAAATTACATCTAAAGCACTAAATAGGAATTAATTCTGTTGATTGAAACAGGTATTATCAGTATCACATACTATTAAAGGTAATTAACCTATTTGTAAAAACCTATTTTATTATGTTAATTTAAAAGTTATTAACGTTTATGGACAGAAAGAGGATAGAAGAATATTGATGAATCAACTTACAGCCTTATCAACCGTATACCAGCGGTTAAGAACGGCAGTTATCGGACGAGTTTTATCCAGTGTGCGTGTGAAACTAACTACAGACCTAGAAGCAATTCATTCACAAGCAGAATTAGTGCAGAATATGGGTAGCTATGTTAGTTTCATGAAACTTGTATGAAGCCAATTTTGATGGATCATGGCCGATAATCATGTCTAAGATAAAAACTAACCTCTTGGATAAAGCCGTGACACATTCTTTCCTCCATGGTTTCCATGTGGATTTAATGTAACCCACATCATGGTTATAATGTCAAGCTAAGTAGGATTTAAGTTTATTGAATAAAATAATTTTTAAATAAAGAACAGTGAGTAAATTTACGCTATGATTGCAGTCAATTTATCATTGTTGTTGTAGCATGCAGTTTTATCCGCCTAAGTAAATAAATGCCTTTCTATCTTGTTACCAACTAAATCCAAAATGATATTGAACCTTCACTCTTTGTGAAATGTAAGCTTAAAAAACACTCCAATATAGCAAACATTTTTTTACAAACCACAAAAACTTTGCATGCAGTTTTATCAAATATTCCGAAACTCATGCATGAAATTACATTAACACTCTAGAACAACTGTATTTTTGAAATCATTTGACTTTTATCCTGGGAATTATAGAGAAAGTAATAAAGTATTGACTGATACTTCTCCATCAATTACTGACAAATTATCTTTTTTGCCAAAATCTATAAAAACACTGGTAAATTATTTATATTACATCTTTAAAAGTAGGTAGGCCTACTTTCTATTAGTTTTGAGCACTTGTATTGATTAATACATTTAAACATTTCACTTTTTCCATGCTCAATGTAATTTTAACACATCTTATTATATTATACTCTGCTATAGGAAAAGTATGCTTGAATACAGTAGGATTTTGAGGGGTGCAACATTTTTTCGCCTGATATTCATCTTATCAGTATATTTTTTAATACTATACCTTTGGCTATGGATACACTACCAAGAACTAGACACTCTAATGAAATGTTAAGCAGTGGTCATTGTTTTTAATTTTTAAACCTGGATATAGTTGAACCAGTGGCGTAGCCAGGATTTCGATTGGGGGGCCCAAACCGGGGGAGAGGGGATATGGAATACTCCCAGGATTGGTAAGGGTAGGAAATTTTGTTATTTTAAGGTGCTAAAACGCAGTGTGTAACAGCTCTGAAGGTTCTAATGTAGAGAATATTATTATGGTATCGGTTTAATACCACTGGTAACCTTTAACTGTTCAGTGAAATCTTTATGAACAAGTTACAAGAAAACATTATTATTATCCTGAAGCCTTGTCCACACCGGCAGATTTTGTTTGCAGACTGTATGTAGATTGTTTGCAAACTGTATGTATACTACTTTTGGAGTCTGTAAACAGTTTAGAAACATTATATCCGATGCTTGTTAGTTACTTGTTTTGCGTCCACACCAGAATAACCACACAGTCAGTGCTTCTAGCGATGCCTTGTGAAGAAGACATACTTTTGGCCCGTGGGTATTTTGTATTCCTGAATTATGCCTACTCTACCAAGGAAGAGAAGGTGGTCTACATGACGAGTGCTTGAGGAAGGTAGATACTACAGCCAGAACCTACTTTCAGACCTCAAATTTGAAGACGAGGCAGGCTTTTGTAACTTCACACATGTGACTCCTATTATAACTAGAGGTGTGCAAGCATGAGATTTTCGATCAAGCCAAAATCAATTTAATATCGTGATGATCTCCCCCGGTGGTGGAGACTATCGTTGTCTTTTGGGATCACTGCAAACTCCTAAATATCTTCCTCACCTTCGGAATCACGATCATTGTCTCCCGCGGTCACAAAAACATTATCGACGTCTCCTGCAATCCCGGCCAAATCACGAATATCTCTGGTCCCCCACGGCCATGTGGAAATTGTCTTCCAAGATTGCCGCGATATTCTGATCATTTTTTGTGGTTAAGAAAACATCATTGTCGTCTTTGTGGTTCTGTAATTATCACAATCAAAATTGTTTATCATTTGCCACGTCCATATTTTCTCCTGCGGTATAACAAATATCCCCAGCGGTAATGGAAACAACATAATTTTATTCTGTAATCGTGTCAAAATTCAGATCATCTTTCGAAGCCATCAGGCATCATCATCGTCTCCTGCGGTCACGGAAACATCAACACATCCCTAATATAAAATAAAAAGATGGGGGGGGGGGCAGGCCCCCTTGGGCCCCTTCCCTGGATATGCCACTGATTTGAATTGAGTATTTAACAAAAAACTGCTGCCAGCTACTGATTTATCTCAAAAACACCAATTGTTCAACCAAGCCAAACTGAAATGGTGGCATAATGTAAAGTATGGAATTATTAAGTCCCTTCAACTGCTGCAGTGTTGAAAACTAAGAGAAAAAATATCATTTTAACAGTAGCAGAGTAGCACCCTCTGTGGGAGGATCATTCAAACATGTTAATTGAATTAAAAAAAAAAACCAATTGTTAGAGCTTGTCCTTATGGATAAGATGTCAACCAGGGTATCCAAAGATCGCAGGTAAGAAAAAGCCATGTCACCCTAACTTTACCTGAGTAAATAAATAATTTTTAATTTTATTTCAATGATAAAACTAAACTGTAGTTTGGTGTACCGTATCGATAATAGCAATCTTTATCCAAGTCAGAAAATTTCACATTAACAGATTATTTTCTAACTCATTTTAGTTTGTTTTTATAGTAATAAAAAACAAGTTATATCTCCCATTAGTTATTTCTTACCCGAAATAAGGCCCTGCCTGAGGTTCAGAAGTCCTAGGCTCATTAGCCACAGACCACATGATCACACTTGCTCTGTTTTTATCTCGGTTTATCAGCTCAGCCATAGCCATCTTGTGCTTGTCTAACAATGTCTGTGAGTAATTCCTGCAACATGAGTAATACATGAGTACTGTAGATTGTGCGCTGGGTCCTACCTGGAAAATTTAATATTTTAAAGCTGTTTGGTGATTTTCTAAAGCCATTTTAATGTCTAGAAATGTGCCTATAAAACCTCCTTTAAATTTTTAGAACGAAATGTATCTTAAAATGTATTTTTCCAGGGTCAGATGGGAGGGCTTTAGTCTCTGTAGCTCACCCCTTGAAACCACCACTGTTTTATGGTATTGTTTGTCTGTGGTCCGTCTATGTTGGTGTAGCAGGTTTTAAGTGATAAGTCATAGTTAAGTAGGCCTACAGTAACACGTTATCTATTATATTATTAAAGTGATACAATCAAATTTTATGTAAACGGTTAAGGCCATTTACCAAATAAAAATATAGGCATATGGTAAATCAAAATGAAGCGTAGAGAGTGTAGATTTGCCAAAAAGTATTGATATGGACGAACTCCCTAAGGGATCTGCCCCACAAGCTGATTTCCAAAGGGCTACGCCTTGCGTGTTTTGGAAGTTAAGGTTATTCGATTAATTTAGTGAACAACAGCTGGTCAATTATTTTATTATTTACTTTTATGTTCTTAAAACAGGTGCGGTGAATGGACTCTGAAGCTATTTCTAGCTGTTTGATACAAGTGAGTGATTAAATGTGTTCGAAACACGAAGAATATGAGATTAACAAACCATGTATGTTGTTCGTTCTAAGAAGGTTGTCACGGATCAGAGGTCTTTATAATAGGTCGCCAGTTCATTGAAAAGTATATTTAAGACGTCGTGAAAGATAGGGGCGAGTTCAGGTACAACCGTACCCACCTCGGCCACCTTAAGACGTAAGGTATGAAGGTTCCACTGCTTTTAACACCCTTTAGATGACAATAATTTCTCGAACTTGGGCCCTTTAAATGAAGTTTAAAGTCAACGTTGATTTAAATTAATTTAATTGTGGCTTCTGTACACCCGTGAATTCACGGGTAGAACCTCTTGTATTAAATACTTTACTGTGCTTAAGTACTGGTAGTACAGGGTTGTTTTAAGTAATATTTAAAATATTTCAGATCTTCATTATCATCACCAACATGTCATCTTTATTTCGTTAACCATACAATTTGGTACAAGAAATATTGTCACATTAGTTTTCTTAATAGTACTAGTGATAAATTACAGTGGAGTCTACTAATTTTACTTGCAATATAAATAAAACAAAAAATATGTAAAAATTAACTTTCATGTTACCTATTGATTTCCTCTAGACAAAAAGTATAGCTAATTAAACAAGTCAATGCAAATTGAAGTAAAAGAAAACAGAACAATCAATGGAGTTAATGATGTTTTTGTCTGGAAGTGATTTCACATACAAAAAAAAAACTTGAAGTAAAATACTGAATCAATAAAAAATTATTTAATGATTTACAAAACTTGTTTAGATTTTTGCAAATTAGATACTTTTTGCAAAAGTATTTAATTAATGATAAGCCAATATGGGATGATATTGCAATATTATTTTCAGTGTCTGCAGAGACAACCACATTTGTGTCATCTGCATAAACAAATATTTTTGTGTGTCTGCCCCAAAGTGACTCCAGATGGTACCCTTAAGGAAACAAAGGAACATTAACGGGCCTATAAGTTATCCCTGAGGGACTCCATATTGCACCGTTAATGGGCAAGAGGTACATGATTCTTTTAATAGTTCTATTATTTTGTCCTAGGATGCTAGGCATGAGCCCGAGTAATCAATAGTTCTATTAGACACACTACAATAAATAAACAAAAATGTTTTAGACACTTATCTAGGTTTACTGAGAAAAACTGAACTCAAAATTTCATGTTCCGGGGAGTAATTATAAAGTAGGCCTACAGCTGTCATTCACTCACTCAGTGTCGACGCTGGGGACTTCGTCTATTATCATAAAGCCCATCTGCTCGGCCAAGTCCATTATCTCCTCAGCGTAAGGGTAGTGTGATGTCCGGTAGGCGTTGGCTCCAATCCATCGCAGGAGGTTGTGATCTCTCATACTCGTTGGGAGGTCCAGCCCTTTGCCTCGAATCTGAGAAACATGATGCATTTAATCACATATTCAATCACCTTTGTACCCCCAGTTTTATGATACATTTGCAACTTTTCCCGCAAAACTTTGTTTTTAGGGAGCTTAAATGTGTGGCTTTTTCGGCATCAAAACTAAGTTCAACATTACATCAAAGCAGTAAATGGCAGAACCCAAGTAATTGTAGAAAGTATGCATCCACAGCCTCATGATAGACAAATCGCTTTAAAATGAATGTTCCAGATATAGATTTTTAGTTTTTAAAAATTTAGTGGACAGCATAGGCCTGCATCAAGGATTCTTAGAAAGATTTAAAATTAAACACACGCTACTGACTCTTAATGATCAAATTATTGTGGTCGGTTAAATTTCTTGAAATCCAACTGAAGCAGTTTTCAACTGAAGTTGCACTCTAGTGTTACTAACATGGCTGATTTTGAGTTAACAAAGATGTTTTTATTTAAAACTAATTACTAACAGGAAGCTGAAACACTGGCAACTTTAATTTGGTTGTTATTTTGTACAAATTAATTTTTGATCGAATAGTGTTGTAGCCTAGAATAAGTTGAATAACTACATCCCACAATCGTCTTCACTGGAAGTAGGCTTACATCAGAATCTTCATGCCGCCCAAAACCTCTGATGTAGATTGGCTTTTCATTGATGTAAACAGAGTTTTGGTCCCACTTGAGACTTCGAAGTCCAAACGGCTGCCTATAGACGTCTGTTATGCTTGAATTCATCACAGTTAGTTTTAACTGGAAAATTAAAAAACAAACTGTAACATTTAACGAGCGAGGGAGGATAGTATCATTATCAGTTAATGCAAGGTCGGTAAAGAGGGGCTCTAACTGTAATAAGATCAACCAGTTTTAACTGCTGCTCATTTCAAATGGCAAACTATTCAACCCTCTTATTATTTTATGAATACAGCAACACAATTTCATTAAGTTTTGTTTTGCAATTGGTTTCAAGTGCCTTTTTTACAGTTTTTTTTATTTCCAAAGAAATAAGAATCCAACCTTCCTTCCATTTTACACACAATCACATTTAACCAGGTGCCCATCCCCCCATCTTAAGCCGGGGCCACACTTGTAATTTTTAACCAGCGAGACTGTTTTTTCCGTTTTCACGTGCGACGCACGTAGAAGAGTTTGACCGTGGCCACACTAGTCTTACGAGATAGGTTTTTTGGACAAACCAGTGAGACTGATAGAGCATGCCACACTGGCAATAAAAATCATCCGTGTCCTTGTTCAGGCTCCCCCCCCCCTCCACGCTCACTGTACAGTAAATCAGTCAGGTTAAAACTAGAAACGTCCGTGGAAAAAATTCAGCGAGATAAGATGAGTGTGTTCACTCCCATAAGCCGCAATGCCCCGCGACTAGTTTTACGTGCAACGCCCGTGGAATGTTAGCAGAGAATACACGTGCAATTCCATTTGACAAACGCATTCACGGACGTTTTTACTCTAGTGTGGCCTGCCCCATATACCGTAATGTATCTCTCAAACCCACGGGTAACGCCCGTGGAAAAAATTCAGCGAGATAAGATGAGTGTGGCCCCGGCCTTAGCCACCAACTTAGCCAACTTGGCTTCCTTACAACACCAAAGCAGCAATCAAACTCAATATTTTCCCACGTTTGTGGAGATATGATAAATAATCAACTCACTTGATTGCAGCAATATCTTGACAATGCCCTGTGGTCGCTAAGACATTATCATCATATCTCACAATCTTGACGATATTATTAGCTTCTTTTGCAATTGGGGAGACATCATGTTGTTTTGAGGGAAAAATTTAAATTATGAATAACTTTATAATTATGTTGCAATAATTGGTAATAATTATATAACCCAAATTAAAAAATTATTTAAAAAATCCTTGTCAGGGATGGTTAAAAAATCCTTTAAAAAGCATCAATGGCAATAATCAATATGTAAAAAATCCCCCTCCCATAAAAATCCCAGTGGCGCAATTGCTCTCCTGCCCTTCCCCCCTCTGGGCACCCCTGCATTTAACATATTATGTTGTCCTACTTTTGAGACCCTTCATGCATACAACCTCACCTCTACAGTATACAGATATCCCGGGTCTGATGCCATTAGGTAAGGCCACCAGAGTTTTGGGTTTTGTATCTCAACAGCACCAGACACATTCCCTGGTCCATCTTCTATCATGGCTGACTCGTACGACCTCTCTCCCTCCCTACTGATCACTGTCACAGTAATGTTTACTGAGGACTTCTCTGGAGCTCCCTTGTAGAACAGGTTGTAATTGACGTACACTGGAACAAATGTATTTCAGTAATAATTTAAGGATAGTAGAACCTATATTTTGGAGGCATTGTGTTGTTGTTTCCGAACATTTGCTTTTTCCTGGGTGAGTTTTTGACCCAACGTTCAACCAGTACTTCTATATGCCTCAGAAACCTGGATACTTAGTAAAAATAAGAAAGAAAAATAATAGTGTTTGAAAATAAGATATTAAGAAAAGTTGTTGGCCCAACACACACAACACAACAGTGAATGGAGTGTAAGGTATAACCAGAAATTAAGAGAGTTGTATAAAGAAGCGGGCATTGTGGGAGAAATAAGAAGCAGGAGACTTAGGTTATATGGACACGTACTAAGAAGAGAAGAAGGATCATACCTGAAAAACATCCTGAAAGGAATGGTGGAAAGGAAGAATTAATTGAGACTCAGGGGAAGACCAAAAAGGACGAGTTTAGAATAGTGTGAAATTATCTGTGTAGCTTTGTTAGTGAAAAATGATCGAACCGGTGAACTTTAGATTGTTAGGCGAGCACAATTACCACTTGGCTACCCAGCCAGTCTATTCTGTAGTGAGTTCAGATAGGACTTCTAGTTTTACCAGCCAGTTGAAAACCGAGAGATATTAACCGAGAGATTATTATTATTATATTATTAGAGATATTATTTCAATGGTAAAGAGAAGCCATTCTTCTCTGGCATGCATACTCATTTTTTATACAGAATCTTCAGTATGGAAAAGACATAGACATTAAAATACTTACCTTTGCCATTTTGAAATTCTGTGGTCAAAAGAACATCATCGATGTAGGCTTTGGGGGTTGTATACAAATAAACTGGCCGATGAATCCCAGCATAGTTGAAGAAATCAAAACTGTATTGTTGGAAAGTCTTTGGTCCATTCGTTCTAGAAATAAATTTAGTTTATATTGTTTAACTTTCTTACTAAGCCTTAATCTCAGATAAAAAATAACAGCAGATTATCCTAGTTGCTGTGGTCTATATTCTGATGAAAATTTTCCTTATGAAATCATTTTGGATCTTATTTCTGATTTCTGGGTTAATTGAGAGAATGTTAGTAATTTCAAACTGACCCATTCTCACATAAGTTTAATTTGATCCAAATAACCCATTTCTCCTAGGGGTCCCAGGACGGCGGGATTGTTTTTCACATTACTTCAGGCTAGACCTAGGGGTTGCGGTATTATTACTTAGATAAAACCCATTGGTGATTTGGTGGGATTTGAACCCGGGACCTCAGCGACCCAAGTCCCACACTCTATCACTAGACTAGCTCAACTCCCAGTTTCCAAGGGATGGCTTAATGGTAGTACGAGTACGATATGAAATCAGCTCAACTCTGTTTATTTTGAGTCACAACAATGTTTAACCATGGTTATTTTCTTTGCCTCAGGAGGTAACATAATATTTAAGATATAAAACTAGACTTAAAACTAAATTGCACAATCATCTCAATCTCTTCCTTGAACAACATATAATTAATTACATTACATGTTCACTTACGTGTTAATTACATGCAAATTCCCTTGTGGAATTGTTGTTGAACTGAGAACGTTGTCTACAGCTACAGTGATGTTGTTTTCACCACCAAAGTTGACAACATCTGTTATCTCCCCTTGGAATGGTAAGTGACCGATTTCATGTTCAAAAACTTTCTTACTGTTTACCCACTGAAACAGAAATTGTAGTAAAATTATTCTAGTATTAGTAAAGTATATCTGGTTGGAAGGAGAATACTGAGGTAACACTCAAAATGAGATTCATGTTACTTAAAGAATTTTCTTGAATCTTAAGACATTTTAATGTCTACTTGGTAATCGTCGTCAAATAATCAAAACGAGCTGTTGGCCCGTCCTACGAATAAATGAACGTATCAATGATTATAGCATAAAGAAAGACACATAGTATAAATAAGTCAATTCTACGTATGTCATTTCATTATCATCCAAATGCTGAATTTGTGTTGAAAACGCTGAACGTTTACAGCTGTTTACGTTAAGCAAATGGTTTTATACCAAGAGATAGAGTAGAATGTTAGCATCGGCTGCTAGACTTTTTAACATTTAAAACTTAATTTCTAAAAAACTGAAACCCTTAACTAAAATTTTGGCTTCGACATTCCCTAGTTCTCAAAATTATCTTTCTTTCAACACAAAAGTTATGAAAATCAGTCAAGTGGTTGATTTAGAATCGTGAAATAAAAAAAAACCCCTGTAATATATATGATGACTACGAGTCTCATATGTGATGCAACAATCTTTCATAATATGTATCAAAGATAATCTACTTATACATGTTAGAGTATGGTTTTGTGTGAATGCAACTCCTCCTTTATTTATTCATCAACTTTAATGTTTGGTAGGGAGAGTTTCCCAGTGACATTTTGATAATACAAAACAGGTTTTCGCCCGTGGTCTTTGTGTACTGTTAACCAAGTGACAGCCGGTCTATGTGTAAGATTCAAATGTATACCTCGGTCTTTGGCAATGACCGCGGCGTCGCATATATGCGGCGCTCAGAAGCGAAAAAAAATTATAGTTACTCGCATTAATACACATGAAAGCATTAGACTTCAATCTTAAACTGTGAAAATAGATAAAACATCATTATTTAGGATTTAATTTTATTTAACGCAAATTTGGGTGGATGAGGTCAGGTTTTTCTGGTTGACAATCAATTTCCATTGAACCTAAGTAGCCACTATGTATAGATTGTGAAAACTACCTCAAAAGATTCAGGTTAAAGTACCTGCCAACCAATATATATATATCTTCCTTTCCTGCTCAAACTCTTATTGCATCATGGAGATTCATGTAAAGTTTATCAACGAGTTTGGATTATTGTTTTGTTTGTTGGTGTTGAACAAATTATAGCAGCTGTTCTCCCATGATACTCAGTTAACATAAAATCAACATTGTATTTAAGGAAGAATTTACCACTTTTGATTGGTGGGAATTCTTGTATAATGCTGTTTCACTGTGTTGCGGTGTCCAGTTGATCACTATGCAACATTGCAACTTTAATGCATACCTCCAAATCACCCTTTACAGGGAAACAGTATCATAGGATCAAATACCCCCGCCGCAGCAAACCTGCCGTCTAAGCGAATTTCCATTTGGCTGAATTGATTTTCAATTGATCTATTTAAATAACATTAGGTTTAACGAGTACCTAGGTTTGCTGCTACAAGGAAACTAATTAAGTACATGTTTTAAGTAAAATAATTATTGCTTAGAATAAAATTAATATATTTGCCAAGTTTGATCAAAAGATATCCATAAACAAGCAAACTACAACATTTTACAATATTCTCCATAAGAATAACATGGGAATTTTAAATTTACCATTTTTGTAGTTTTCTCCGTAACCAATAACTGTACAAAAACACTTTGATATACTGAATTGTTTGTTTTTTTAAGCTCTTTAAGAAGGTTTAGAGAAAAATTGGGAAATTTTGTGTATTGAGGGTCAAAAGTGAGAAAAACCTATTTTTACCCCATAAAACCCCCCATAAAACCCTGTTGCCATGATCCGATCATGCTGGATCGCGAACTCATTCAAGTTTATCCCGCCTTACACCTTCAAACCAAATTTCATCAAAATCGGATAAAAATTACTCAAGTTATCGTGTTCACGGACACATATATATATATATAAATCTATATATATACCTATATATATATATATACATATATAAAAATTTGAACGAATGGTGTTTTTGGCCTCTGGGGACACCAAAATGAAAAAGTAAATCGGTCCCGGGCCTAAGTCTTACCATGAGACCTACGGTAATAGCTACTTCCCTATAGGGAAATTCGCTAAAAGAGAGCAATTTGTTGCCAAATTCTCTGGAACCCCATTTTTGGGTGTGTAACCTTTAGATTTAAATCCTGCAGTAGCATCGTTTTAGTTGGTATCAGTTATATTATTGAGCGGAGCGAGCGAAGCTCTTATACATCGACTCCTATGCATTTCGTAATACGCAAACTCCTCCTAGACGGCTGAATCAATTGTTTTCAAATTTTGCATGGTGATAAAGACCATATCGGTGCGTGCCAATATCTATATGGCGTTAAAAAAGTCTCTCAGGAATCCGCCCCACTGGGTCTCAAGGTTTCAATGTAATCCTTATGGAAGCAGTATTTGACACATAAACAAAGACATATGATCAGCTGTTGACTTTTGAATGCAGTAGATAAAGAAATAGCTGATAGCATTATTCCACAGATATTAGAACAGAAACGGTATGGATCATAAATACAATCAAATGACGACACTAGCTTGAGGTCCGTGACGTAGGAAGTGGTGAAGAAAGTAGTAAAGGTGAGCAGCCTGGAGTGTGGAAACTGTCTTTGACGATTAGATTTAGGTATCTGCATTCCTAAAATTCTATGGGAAGGGAGGAAACCCGGTCCGCGACGTAGGAAGTGGTGAAGGAAGTAGTCAAGGCAAGCTGTCCAGAGTGTGGGAACTGTTTATGACGATTAGATTAAGGTATCTGCAATCCTAAAATGCTATTGGAAGAGAAGGAAACATGTCCGCGACATAGGAAGCGGTGAAGGAAGTAGTAAAGTCGAGCTGTTTGGGGTATTGGATCAGTTTATAGCCATTAGATTAAGGTATTTGCAATCCTATGATGCTATGGGAAGGGAGGGAAACAGGTCCGTGACGTAGGAAGTGGTGAAGGAAGTAGTAAAGGCAAGCAGTCCGGAGTGTGGAAACTGTTTATGACGATTAGATTAAGGTATCTACAATCCTAAAATGCTATAGTAAGGGAGGAAAATAGGTCCACGACGTAGTGGGTGGTGATGGAAGTAGTAAAGGTGAGCAGTGTTGAGTGTGGGAATGGATGAATGTATCTACAATGCTAAAAAGCTATGGAAGAGACTGTAGACTGTAGGTTAAAATTATTACGAAGCACGAATAAATACATATTTTCGATACATGCAATTGTTTACAATCAAAAGAATAAAAATGCTACTTTAGACCCGCAATGCATGCATTATTTACTGCAGTATGACAAAAACAATATAATATGAACCCTTGATGACTCCGCTCAATTTTGTGGATGCCTCTGTGAACGCCACCTAGTAATTTTTTATCATATTACCTTTTGACCCTGTTCCTGTCTGTATAAATAACCGTTAACATTTTGAATGATTTATTTGTACATAATTTTAATCTTCCTATTCTTCTACAAGCACCTCTTCAGACTTCACCCTGTCTTCCTTTAATCTATTTCCAGCCTCCTCAAACAAAAGCCTTTTCTCTCCATCCCAGCACCCGATCCACCTTTACTCCATCCTGCTATCTCAGTGTAAGTAGACCCTCCTTCTTGTACTGAACCACTTAACCCAGATGCATTTGGGAATCCTCTCAGTGCGACTATATACACTAAACGCACTAGGCTACATGTAAAATACTGTATTTTTCTAAAGTAGAAAAATAAATCATAAACGTACCACTTGTGCGTAGTAGTGAGCGCTCCCAAATCTCAGCCAAACACGTTGGTCTTGTTTCCAAAACTGTGGTATGTAGAACGTCCGCTGATACCAAACCATCCCGACATGGTCCCGCACGGAGGCTAGAGTTGTGATGTCATTATAGCTGCTCGGCACAGGCATCAAAGTAGCCCCTGGCATCTTTACATTCAACAGAAAAGATCAGAGTATAATGTATAACTACTAATCAACAATACTGTATAAAACAACAGTATAACATACATCCAAAAGTATTGGATACATTGAATTGAACTTATTTGGCTTGAGTTAAAAAAATGACTGATACATACAGGAGATATGAATTTTCCACCCTATTCTTCACCAACCCTCTTATTTTTCTCTTATTATACATCTTAATTTCTCCTTTTCCAAAGACAGTTGTGTCATAGCATATGAAGCGAAAGATCAAAACATGCAGCATCAGGATTGGTAGGTGTTTAAAGTTTAAACATTTGTACTTAGAGATTCAAATCCCAAAACACTATTGACTGTGCTGTGGTCCAGCTAAAAAAATGGAGCCTTGAGCATTGGAGGGATGATATTATTTTTCATCTACATATGCAACTTGTTTAGCTAATTGTTGCCATTTAGTGAGCTATTTAAATTTTTTCTTTACAAAACAAAAAGAGCCAATAATTTTGTCCCACCTTTAAAAAAAAATTGAGAAATAATCAGCATGGTGTAACATAAAAACATTCCTGACAGCATGACAATGCAGTTGTCAAAATGAAAGTATTTGGCTGCAAGGTATAATCAAAAGAAAGGTTCCCGGAAATGAATTTGCAGAGTCATTTACAAGGACCAAGGTGAGAAACTTAATGCAGTAATTTAGTTAAATTCTGTCCCTCAAGGGAAGTGGCTATCAATAGTTAAAGGTATAGGTTTTAGTCACCTTTGGTAGTATGGTAGTCCAGTAAAATAAGACATTTTTGTATGCAAAAGGTAGGGTGGTTTTGATAATTGGATATATGTTGTTAGTGTTGGGCCCATAACATAAAATCCAAGTTTTCCACCGAGGTACCATGGCGCGTCACGGGGCGTCCCACTTGTTAACGAAATGTAAAAATTTGACCATTCCTATGGTTTTTCTCTCTATCTCGCGAACAGTTGGTTTTACTGAAAAATTTCTTTATTAAATTAAATGAGAATAAATTTGTAACAGTTTAAGCTCAACACCAAGTATGTAGAGTAAATAATGGCCGAAATACAGACCTTTGCATCAAAATAAATTAACTCAAACCAACTTATCTAAGCAAACTAAAAAACAGACACAGGGATCGTTACAAAAATTGCAAGAAAACTTTTAATGGTTTATTTTGTAGTGTGTTGGGTGTGAAGAGTTTTACATACTAAAAGTTGGCCAAAATCGGTCCAAGGGAAACCTTCTAAAATACTATTTAAATAGGGGGCTTTTCCAAACATTGGGCACATTTTGAAAAAAGGCTACATGCATGTTTATGCCTATTTTTCAAGAAATTTACTTTGGACCTCCGCCGATATTTTTGGGTTTTTGTGTTCAGTGCTTCATTTCAACAGGGAACGCATTTTTGGCCACCATCTTGGATCCACCATATTGGATAAAAATACAAGTTTTTAATAGTACGATTATACAATAATACAATTTTTAATAATGATAATGTTGTGACACATCATTATAAACTAGATTTTGTCGCTGATTTCAATGATGAAATCTGTTTTGAAATATCCTTTTTGGTTTTAAAGATATATTCAAACGAAAACTCTCCCCCATACATTTCATATGGATGTTTTGTACTTTTTATATTTAATTTAAATTTTTTAAAGATTATTTTTCTTATATCTCAATTTTTATTAACACTTGCAGTATGTTATAGCCTTACGATATTCAGTGATGTAAGGGCTTTCATTTGAAATATTGATAGTTAAAAATGGACAGGTAAGAGACAAGCTACAAACCCTAACACAATATTAAATTTAACTTTTCAGAAATAAGTTTGAATTAAAAGATTTATATATCGGGGTTTTAAAACCTCACCAAGTTCTTACGGATCTCAAATAACTCAGCAAATGTTTGGCTTTAATTTTATTAATATTTAAATAAAAACTGACAAATTTAAAATTAGGCATGGACCTTCATCTAACATTAAATTATTTTTATTACAAAATTTGTCTGCAGTTAAAGATGTAATTAATTAAAGACTCCCAATTCTAAATAACTCCCCAAACTCTTTATAGTCTTAAACAATATGTCAAAGTATAAATTTTAGCTGTGGATTACTAATTTTACTTATAAATTTTATTTAGAGGTTTTACAAAAAATATTCTAAACTGTCAATGATAACTACTATGTTTGTTGCAGCTGGTCTATACAGGGTGAATAAAAAGTCAAGACCCCCCCATCTAATATTTTTCCAAGTAAATATATAGAGATATCCTTTTGGGGGTCGTGCAATCTTAGCAGGAAGTTTCATTTTGTGATTTTGAAATTCATGAGTGTCCCCCCAAAAGGGGGTCTAGGGGGGTAACTCAAATATTTTAAATGTAAACCCCCTTCAAGTGACACCTCATTTTAAAGTGTTTACACAAACTTAAAGAATGGTAAAAACTAGAGGTCGCTATCTCTTCTCTATCCAAAATGGTAGCCCGTCAAATGTTGTGGAAAATCAATGGTAAAATTAGTTCGTAATGGTAATATTGGCTACCATTTTGGATAGAGAAGAGATAGCGAACTCTGGTTTTCACCATTCTTTAAGTTTTTGTAAACACTTCAAAATGAGGTGTCACTAAATGGGGGTTTACATTAAAAATTTTTAGTTGCCCCCCAATCCCTCCTTTTGGGGGGGGGGGACACTCAAAAATTTTAAATGTAAACCCCCATTTAGTGACACCTCATTTTGAAGTGTTTACAAAAACTTAAAGAATGGTGAAAACCAGAGTTCGCTATCTCTTCTCTATCCAAAATGGTAGCCAATATTACCATTACGAACTAATTTTACCATTGATTTTCCACAACATTTGACGGGCTACCATTTTGGATAGAGAAGAGATAGCGACCTCTAGTTTTTACCATTCTTTAAGTTTGTGTAAACACTTTAAAATGAGGTGTCACTTGAAGGGGGTTTACATTTAAAATATTTGAGTTACCCCCCTAGACCCCCTTTTGGGGGGACACTCATGAATTTCAAAATCACAAAATGAAACTTCCTGCTAAGATTGCACGACCCCCAAAAGGATATCTCTATATATTTACTTGGAAAAATATTAGATGGGGGGGTCTTGACTTTTTATTCACCCTGTATGCTTTTACAGCTGAATTTATTGAATTAATTAAGTTGAATGTTGAAGTGTGTGAAATTTCCATTGTTTCTCAAACAGCTAATAGAAAGTCAGTTTACTGAGGACAAACTGAGTATTTTTGTCACTATAACATGACATCCTCTGCAGAAAAGTATCAACTGCAGATACATTTGTAAAGCGCGAAAGAATGCCTCCGACACCATTACATGGGTCCAACTAATTCCACCTAGGTGGCGTCCCCATCTCAAAGATTGATAATTGATAATTGATAATTGATAATTGGAGATGGGTTTTTTAAGGAATGGAAAACTTCTTCCAGTGATTAAAATGGGCTTTAGTCCAGCATGCTCAGGTGTAACTGCTCTGGTCAATGCAACTCAATGCGATGCAGCTGTAAAGACTTGGACTCGAGTGCACCTGAGCTTGTGGAAAATGTCAATGTCAGATTGATAACTGTGAAAATACAACTATAGAGCTGGTTTCAGATGAAGAAAACCAGGAAAACTCCCTTTAAAATTGACATCTAAAGGGAAAACTGTGTCCATTGTAACTATACAATCAGCGTAATACGAATAATTTACTAATAATTTTAAAAGTAGTTTCATTTACAATGACAGTTCATTTTTGTTTATATGTTTTATGTGAAAGTAAATAAAAAAAAAGATTTTTGAAGAACTGTTTAAAATTGAACAAATATGAAAGCTACATGGGATAATGCAGCATACATACATACAGTGATGCAGCAAAGTAAAGACCAGTTTTTCCAACTATCATATGATGTTACCAATCATCATATCCACAAACCAAGCGACGCAGTTGTGCGTCACACATGCCTGTATACCACTGCAGAGAATTCAGTGCCTTCAAATAGACCCTTACAAAGATATAAGCGTTTTGATAACATTGGAACACCGACGCAAACATGCGATATCGGTCTATTTTAATGTGACAAGCTGTTGATTATAAGCGACGGCAGTCTAAGGGTAGAAACCAGCCGTCACATAATATGTGCGTAGCTGGTCCATAAGAATGAACAAATTTTGTACTCCAGTAGCGAACGTCTAAATAGAACTCTTAGATATATAGTGTTATTGCCTCTAATATTGTCCCGTTTTTGTCAACTTTTACTATTATTGTTTGTACCATTAGCTAACAATTAAATAAAAAATAATTTCTTCCAACTTTTTACATCATTTTTATGACAGTAGCTGGTCTCTAGCTTGTCTGATTTCAATTATCAATAGCTCAAATATAAGCCCTTAAATCACTGAATATGTTTGTAAAGCGCGAAAGACTACCTCCGACACCATTACATGGGTCCAACTAATTGGAGATGGGTTTTATAAGGAATGGAAAACTTCTTCCAGTGATTAAAATGGGCTTTAGTCCAGCATGCTCAGGTGTAACTGCTCTGGTCAATGCAACTCAATGCATTAACCAGTCAATACATTTATTTCATTTATTTTATTACATCTATCTATAATATTGAAACGAAACAGTGTTTTTTTTATTTCACGATTCTGAAGCAACCACTTGACGGATTTTCATGATTTTTGTGTTGAAAGAAAGATAATTTTGAGAACTAGGGAATGTCGAAGCCATAATTTTAGTTTAGGGTCCCAGCTCCCAGTTTTTTAGAAATTAATTTTTGATTTTTAAAAAGTCTAGCAGCCGACGCTAAGATTCTAAACTAGCTTTTGGCATAAAATAAATAATCTATAATATTAAAACGAAACAGTGTTTTTTTATTTCACGATTCTGAATCAACCACTCGACGGATTTTCATGATTTTTGTGTTGAAAGAAAGATAATTTTGAGAACTAGGGAATGTCGAAGCCATATAATTTTAGTTTAGGATCCCAGTT